GGGTGGGTGCAGCAGGCAGGGACCCACGCAGAGCTAGGAAAAGCTGTAAACCCACACGTCTTCCCGTTTGTTCGATCCCTAGTGGGCTCTTATCCTCCCCGGAGGATGCTCTGCGCTCGGGTGGGGACCTGCTAGCAGTAGGTCGGCCAGCCCTGTTCAGGTGAAGCCATTAAGTCCAAAATCCACGGGCTGTCCTTTGCCCGTGGCGGTGTCTGCTTGCTGGTTTGCATCTGGGTTTAGCATCACTGGGCAGGGAGACTTGGTAGCGCTCCAGCAGGCGTGGGTGTGGGCAGAGTCCTAGCAGGACAAGAGCCACGTGTGTTGTGCTGTCCTGCTTTGGAGAAGTCTCCCAAGGGAAAAGGGGCAAGTTAAGCTGCTGGTCTGCCTCCCTCCACCTCCAGAAACGTTTACTGTGTGTATGTGCAAAGGCACCCTTAGGTGAAGCGAAAGGAGGTAAGTGGAAGTCCTGACACTAGCCTGCCTGCTGTGGTTGCTACCTCCTGATGATCGACCTGTTTGCTTGTCTCTTAACTGTTGTGTCCATGTAGCCTGTGCGCATTTTCAGTGTTTCTGTGAGGCTGGTAGCCTACAGCAGTAACACTGCTGCTTTGCAGTCTGCCTGATGTTGCAGGATTTAGTACTGTTGGAATATGGGAAAACTGAAGAAGTGACAGCAGAAGGGAGCTGTGTACCTCAGAGAGGGTCACATCAGTAAGGCAGGAGGGAGAGGTGACTGCAAGAGAGGTAGGAGCTGAAAAGGAGGTGGCCACAGTGGCCAGTGAGCAGGGCAGGGGACAGACAGCACCATGAAGGAAAAGCGGTAGGAAGTCTGAACGGCCTTCTGAAGCAAGGAGGTGACAGTGTTAGAAAAACAGTAACACTAGCCAGTAAAGCCTTTTAGCCAGGCTAAATCAGCTGAGACTATTCCCTCCACGTTTGCTGCTCCTTTCCACTTGATTAGCAAATTCTTTCCCCAGAAAGAAATGAGGCATATTCCTCGCTGCCCTGCCCCCCTGCAGATGCTGGTGCCTGTGGTAAAATGGCTTAGACTCCTAGTTACCTTTCCACTCCGGGCTGTAATTTTCAGCATACCATTCTGATTAGCTAATGCCTCATACCCCATGCAAGCTGCTGAAGAGTGATAAACTGAGACCTTGAATAGCAGCCTGCTGCACTGACAGAAATAACAGCGGAAGATATAAAGCAGTAGAAAATTTGTCCCTATGACCTGCTTCCTACCTAATTTACTGATATCATTTTTTCACACCGCTAGCATTTGCAGACTTGCACCTGATTTAGCCGATGGCAGAGCAGAACAAGGGCCAAGGAAAACCGTTTTCAAATTATTTGCTCTTGTGTAAACTAAGAATCTGAGTGCAACTGTTGTGCTCCTCAGAAAAAGTGAGAGAGGTCTTAGGCTGAAGTCAGGGGAGTGTGAATTTCAAGGGTGTTAACGCAAATAATGCCAGAAGGCTTTGAAAGTGTGCCGGACCCAAGGGAGATTAGTGGGAAGTGAAAGGAGTAGTGAAACGGCAATGTCCTGCCCTGTGATGAGGTTGCTTTGTGTTGCCAGAGCAACTCTACAGACCTTGATCCTCGGAGTATTTCTTTGCTTATCGCTTGGAGCTCCCATTGCAGCTGCCAAAAGTCATTAGTGCGGCTTTTGCATTCTGCTCTATAACTAGCTCCCGGTATCCAAAATGGCATAAAATGGAAATATTCTAGTGCTGTCCTGTGACATGGTGGATGACTGGGTCCTAACAGGTTCTTTGTGTGCCATCCTTGGTCTCATCCGAGCAGGACCTAACCTAACAGCCAGAAGGAAATGGACTTTTGGAATATTAAATGTTTTACCATAGACTGTCTTCTGGCAGTGGCCTGAACTAGATTTTCCCCTAAGGGATTTTAGACCTCACTTGCCTCAGCAAATTTAAAGCTGGTGAAAATTATTGGGCTGATGGCTGAAGAGCCTGGCACCTCCCGTTCCTCTCCAGAAATGACTGTCGGTGAACAATACCATTTTGAGACAGCTCCTGCCAGCTCTCACTTTGCAGGGCTCACTGCCCTCCTGCTGCCTTTGTCACAGCAGGCTCTGGGGGTAATTGCAACTCGTCCACTTCTGTCAGGCTCCACGGCGAGGCTGCTGACAGTCAGATGCTGACAGCCCATTCCCCAGCCTGTGTGCGGCCATGGTGGGGCACACGATTTTTGTGTCAGAAAATAGTGCTGACAGCATGCAGGGAGCCTGAGAGCAACCTCTAATGGTTGCAGGTGCTGTCCTCTTTTGTGTGGAGCCTTGTCCTCAGGAGTCCCTTCACAAGTCCCTTCAGGCAGAGTGAATTTCAGTGGAGACAGGAGGGAGCGACACACACTGTGACTTGCAGTCTGTACAGACTGGTATTTGCAAGGGGTCTCAGATGTTTACATTTCATGTCCAACATGCATGAAGTGATGTGTGGTTGCTCCCTTCTAGGAGACAGAAGAAGACGGCCTCTCATGCTGTGACAGAGTTGGAGAACACCAAGGATTGCAGCCAGGCCGGGAAGCCCCTCTTCTGCCCTTCCCATCCCACAGAGGAGCTAAGGCTGTTCTGCGAGCAGTGTGACCAGCCTATGTGCCGGGATTGTGTTGTAGACAGGCACCGGCAGCACCCCTATGACTTCATCGGCAATGTCATCCACAGGCATGGGGACGCCTTGCGAGGGCTGCTGAAAAGCACCCAGCAGCACATGGGCACCCTAGAGGATGTGCTGAGCCGGATTGATGACATGGGCAGTGCCGTCCGCAGTCGTGCAGAGGCTGTGGCTGCAGAGATCTGTCTGTTTGCCAGTGGGTATGTGAAAGCGATTGAAGAGCACCGGGACCGGCTGCTGAAGCAACTGGAGGACTTGAAGGTGCAGAAAGAAAACTTGCTGCACTTGCAGAAGGCCCAGCTGCAGCAGCTGCTGCTGGACATGAGGACAGGCATGGAGTTCACAGAGCATTTGCTGACGAGTGGCTCGGACCTGGAGATCCTCATCACCAAAGGGGTGGTGGCGAGCCGGCTGGCAAAGCTGAACGGCGTTGCTTACAACACCCACCCCAGCGTGGATGACGGGATCCATTTCTCTCCCCAGGAGAAGGCAGGGCAGTGTTGCGGCTATGAAGTTTTCGGGGCCATTCTCAATAAAGTGGTTGATCCAGCCAGATGTACCCTGCACGGGGAAGGTAATGGGGTGCCGTACAACAGCTGAACGGGAACGCGCCGCTCCCTGAAATCACCTCTCTCTTCTTTGTACCCACGTGGCGTGCAGCTTAAGGTGCTGTTGGCTCCCTGCTGTCCAGGCATTGACTAGGGTCAGGGGCAGAGCCCTGCCGGAGGTTGCATTGCTTGCTGAGGGCCTATGGGAGCCATGCTGGGCAGGGAGCCAGAGACCTGTCCCCATCCAGATGTACAGAGCGTACCGGAGCTGCCCTCTGCAACATCACTGGCCGCAGCATGTGGCTGAGGTGTGAGGAGAGCACCCCTTAGGCCAAAGACCACAGCTTACTCAGGGCTGGGAATGGTGCCTGCAACAGCAGGACATGATGGTCTCCCACTGGCCCCAGCTGTTCTGCAGCATGGGCCCAGGCAGATCCCCTCTGTGGCTGAGTGAGTAGGTTCATTCTCCTTACAGCTTCTGCTGAGATTGACATGGGAAGAACTGGCATCGACGGTTTCATGGGTATTTGCTTACTAAGGACTTGGAGCAGGGCCAGCAAACAGATAACATTCAGACCAGCCCACAGAGCGCAGCCAGCTCTGATCAGTAATGGCCTGTGCAAGGCAGATGAGACAGACCTAGGGCTCATTCGATCCCTTCCATGCCAAACTGTAAGTGCTGAGGTCTTGGAGGCTCCACACTGCACAGCGGGGCTGTTCCTCCACCCTCCTGGTTGCATGGTGCACCTTGAGGCCTTCTGGAAGATGCCGGCTGGGCTCAGAGAGGCAGGCAGGAAGACCACTCTGGTCTATACAGACCTCCAGGCTAAGCCTGCCCAGCATCCCTCAGCGCCTATGGCTGTCCACTCTCTCCTGATCCCCAGTCATATATTTACTTTTCCCTGTGAGTGGAAGGAGCTGTATACGCCAGCAGCAAAGTCCTGGCTGTGCTCTGATGGGACTGCAACACTACAAAATAGATGGGAGGTGGCAGTCATGGCTGGTGTGAATCCTTTCTGGTCCTGTTTCTCTGCCTTGCAGATCTCCACAGTGCCCGTCAGAACCAGCTGACTGGCTTTACCCTGCTCTGCAATGACACCGTGGGGGAGCGGATGGGGCGAGGAGGAGAGGCCGTGCGGGTCACCATCACCCACAAGGACAAGAGGGGCTGGTGGGTATTTCACCTGAGAGCTCCCCGGTCACTGGGTTTGCCTTTCTGCCTCCCTTACCCTGGCTCCCTCCTTGTTTGGGCAGGTGGGAGGACGTGCTTCAGCGTGTGGGTCAGAATCTGTAGGGGTAAAAGCACTGCTCTTCTTCCCACCAATATAGCAGTGCTTCCAACTGGTTGTATTTGGCCATGTGGAGCTTGACAGCATTTGCTCAGATTTGTATTGAGTCTTTGAGTGATTTGCGACTTCTTAAAGGATTCAACTCTCAGTGGGTGTTAGACATTGTCGGAGTGAGCTGTTGCTCCTTCCCACTCCTACCAGCAGGCTCCTGGGGCTCCTGCTTTTGTTAATGCCTAATAAGAGGAAAACATCACAACCCCAGACAGACAGCCAGCCCCTGTCCCGTCAGACAGACAGTCTAGCAAGCCCAGAACCCTCTGACAGTTGATGGAAGTGCCTAGTTCATGTTCTGGAGAAAGAATCTGTGTCGGGACTTTATTGTGCTTTCTCCTGTAGTTGCAAGCATTGAGCACTTTAGCGTGTTTGGAAGTTTTCTAGCAACAGCAGGAGCCCTTGAGCTCCGAAGTGTTTCCACAATGAAAATGACCAACCAGAAAAAATTATTTTCCAACTGTTTCCAGGCCACGCTTGTTACTATAAAGCACCCAGGCACAAATGCAGAACCAATTGGGGGTCAATACTTAAGAAAAACATCTATTCTGTTTTATGGTACATACAATGTAGCTGGAGAAAGATGCCAGGGTAACTTGTTCCAGGAACGTTGTTGGTGGGATGACAGGATGCTAAAACTCCTTGTGATGGGGGAGTGTTGACAAGGCATACAGAAGCAGTGCTGGCTGCACAGGTGCTTGTCAATAGAGCATCATTGTTCAAGAATATGATCCCAATGTACCTGCCTTCCTTAGGTGCACATATGACATAGGAAGGGGTGCACGTAAGGATTACGTAGATTTTGCTCAGTGGGGTAGAGGTCGCTGTGGCCACATTAACTCAATCTCTTGTTCTTGCGCGTATGCAGTTGCTACATCCGTTGCTGAAAACCGTCTGGCTTTGGGTTGAGGCACAGCAGCTACAGAAGAGTGTGAAGTATCACCACGGTTCACGGCAGGAAATGATGTAGGCAGCTGTATTCATGTGAAATGGTGGCAGGGTGGGGAATACAGCCTGTAAGCCTGGAAGATTATAAACTCTCACATCATGGGGCAAACCAGACTAATTAGTGGGGATTAGGAAGAACACCTTCCTCTATGCAGAGCTGCCTGATAATTGTGGAAAGCTCTTTCCATCTTTCTGTGAAGCAGGCAATCAGTAACTAGCCGGTGCTTTCTCCCTGGCACTCTGTCCACCAGGGTTCCCTGTGAAGCTCAGTGAGCTTCACTTTGGAAAGGGAGAATTTGCAAGCAAGGACCTAGAACCCCTCAGAGCGTTGAAGAGAAGAGTTGGGGTCAATGCAGTGGCTGAAGTGATTCAAACCTGCCCCGTTTATATCCTGTCTTGTTCATGGGCTCTTCTGGAGGTAACTGCTCTCTGAAGCTGTAAGAATTTACCCCCATTTCTGAGGGCTGTTATCTGATGGGATAATCTGACCTGCAAGTGTGCTGTCTGTCATCTGCTCTTTCAGCGCTCAGGGTTGGTACAAATCCTTGCAGTGCAGCTAGCTTTGTGTGACTTCCTTTGTATGGTTATTGCAGCTCCCAGCAGCAGGTGTGTGTGAAAACTACTCAGTGCTTGAGCATTGCTCATACATCCTGTTAAGCTCGCTTGAGACCCACAGCTGCTCTGAACAAGGCTGAGGATAAGGAGCTAACCGCAAATCTAGGCCAAATGGTGGTTCACGTGTAGAGCGATTTTCTGACAGTCACTGACCTCTTGGACTTCTCTCTGTTTGTAGTGCAGTCAAGCCAACAGTGTGTGATAATGATGATGGGACCTACCATATTTCCTACAGCCCTGAGGAAGCAGGCTTGTATGCTGTCTGTGTCTATGTGAAAGGGCAACATGTACAGGTAGCATTTCTTGTTTCTCCTACATTGCTGCTTCTTCACCTGCTTTTCTTTCCTAAGTATTTGCTTTAAATCTTTCTAAGGATTACTCCTACCACTTAGCAGTTTAAGACTGGGCTTAGTGATCTGTGACTGACAGGGTCACCCAGTTGGCTTTTGAAAATGCAGACAGAACATCTGATAGCATCCACTGCAGCATCCTGTCTGCTTGCTTGTCCTCTGCAGGGCTCTCCATTCACTCTGATGGTGAAAAACAAGTTCCGCGAGCACCACGGTGTGTTTCACTGCTGCACATTCTGCTCAAGCGGAGGGCAGAAAGCTGCTCGCTGTGCCTGTGGTGGGACCATGCCAGGTGGGTGCTCAGCTTTCCCCATGCTGCTGGCATCAGGAGGGTTTGTTGCATTCGGTCCTCCCTAGTGTATATAGATGCAAGTAGATACTCTAGCCCAACTCCTGCCTTGCACATGCACCAGGACTGTGATAACTTGTATGTACGTATGTTCTGGTAGGATGCAACTGCAGCAGTGAGAAATGCAGCAGGAAACGCCAAGGGTCTTTGTAGCACACCCCATAGACAGAGACCTGAGCCAGCTGTGCAGGAGGTGGGGCAGGGCAGGGCATCTCTCTCTTTCAGCCCTTCTCAGTGAGGCTAAGCAGCGCTGTGACTGTACTGTTCCTGTTCCAGTTGGGAGCTCGCGGGCTGTGTCACACAGTGCCCAGTTCTGTACTCAGGAGAAGCCTGACTCCTCATTTAGGATGAGAGTTCAACTCCCTTATTTATTTAATCCCAGCCAGCTTCCCTGTCCTTAACCTGCATGTATCATTGTGTGTTTTGCATGTTTTTAGTATAGAACCGACACCTTCCTTTTTCCATGCTTGATCTGTATCTAGCTCTGGCCATAGCCACTAGCAGCTGGCATGAGGTTCTGCAGGCCTGCGTCTTGCAATACTCAACAGGCAAGGAGATGGAAATCTTCATTTTCCCCAGCTATTGGAACAGGGAGTCCCCCTTGGTTGTTCTGGTTTCTTTCTGGAGCCCTGGCAATTTTGATCTTGAATATGCTGTGCTCTCATCAGCACGTGTCTCCGCATCTCAGAGAAGTCCTGAGGCTGAAGCACTCTCTGAAAGCCTCTGACACACTGGGACTTTCTGGCCCACTTTGGGTTGAGCTGATTGTGCCTCTTCTCTTGCAGGTGGGTACCAAGGCTGTGGCCATGGACACAAAGGTCACCCTGGCTACCCGCACTGGTCGTGCTGTGGACAAGTGAAGGAGAATTCAGAGTGTTTGGGTGGGCCACCCAGCGACACCTCGCAGAGGAGGTTGCTCAGGACGGTGGTGCTCTGAGCAGCCAGGTGAGCTCCTGTGAGCCCAGGGCACTGCTGCTGGCTGCTGCATCAACACAAACCATGAGGATCCCTGCGATCACTGCGTAGCCTCACTGCCGGAAAACAACGTCGTGATGGGTGTGGGCTGAGAAAGGGGGATGAGGGAAAATAAAATTGTGCCTTATGTTCCACCCAGGATTGTGTATGCAAAGTTGTTTTGTGCCTGAACAGGAGCAAACTTTGGGAATTGTTCCATTGCCTACACTTGAGAACTTGAGGCCCGTGGGGTCAGGCTCTAAGGGGAAACTCAGTCTGAGCAGAGTTACCTCACATGAGGGTCAAGATGTGTCTCATTCTGCAGGATCAACAGTCTCTGTTGTCCTTCTTGAAGAAGCCAAAGCTGCTCGTTGGGGCACATTCCAAAGGGTCTGTGTTCATGCCTTGGAAAGGCTTGGCAGCCTGAACATGGCTTCTGCCTTCTTGTTAGATGTGTGGCTGGATTCCAGCCTTGGATGTGTGCATATAGCACAATCACACTCCTGGGAGTTGCTGTTTTGTTTTCAATCCTTACATTTTCTCCAAATAACGTGTAGTCTCACTACACCCTCCCTGCAAAGTAGGGGCAAGGTGGGTTAGTAATATATCTGAAGGAAATCCGAGGAAAACCCATGGTGCTGATGGGAACACGAATTAGAATGTCATTCACTCAGTCTGTATGTTCTTCATGGAGGTGGTGCGGGACATGGCACTGCTGGGGGTGATGCAGGGGCCAGCAGAGCACCCAGCTCACCAAGGGAAGATTTGGGGACGGTTTGAGCATTGGTAGGAGCCGCAGGCACAAGTTTGCAGGTATCTGTCCTGTACTGGGGCAACTAGGCAAGAGCAGCAGAAGGAGACGGAATACAGCAAAACTCCTGGATTTGGCTTGTGCAGTCTTGGTAAGGCTCTGTTTTTGGAAGGAGAACTTGTCCCATTTTCCATAGGGGAGGGAGGATGTATCTCCCAGGCTTGTAAGTGCACTGCCGACCCATAGTTGGGGAAATGGCATATGTGATGAGGAGGAAGAGGCAGTTTTCTGGAAGGGGAACTGCTAATCTGCTGATGGCTGCCTGCCACTCGCCTGGGTGAAGCAGACACCCTGGCTACCTTCCTTTACAAAACACATTTGTGTCATTGAGACTGGGAATGCTACTGCCCTGGGGGTAACTTTGCTGGTAGGTGTGTGTTGCTAGGGGCTCCTGATACTGCCTGGGGAGCTGGGGACAAAGGTCTGACTGTTGGTCACTTGGGGAGAGGAATGCTGCTCCAGTGTCAACAGTAAGGACTGGTTCTTGCTTTCTGGCTGATGATAGCTGGCTTGTAAATAGGAGAAACCTGTGCTGTCTGTTTGCTTGCTCAGACCTAAAAGACTCCCATTTGTTGTTCATTCCTCTTACAAAGCCAGTTTTGGAACCTCTTCTTCCCAGCAAAGGAGATAGCTATCCTTATGCAAATGCTGTTTATAGCTTTCCATTAATCATCCAGAAAGGGCTGGCAAACAAACAGGGGGAAGGTTAGGCAGTTTAAATCTCCAAGTTAGGCAATTTAAGTCTCCAAGCTGCTGACTCTGAACTTTCAAAGTGAAAGTTTAATTTGAGTTAACCTTTAATGGAACAAAGAGTAACTCATCTGTGTCCTTGCTATGTGCAGAGTCAGTGCTCAGTACAGAATGTGATGTAAAACAAACTGCCTCATTTTCTTTGTCTTTCTATTTCTTGCCTCCCACCCTCCACATGTGCATTGTTTTTTCTCGGAGCTTCCATGCTATATTGCAGAGGGAACACATAAGGACGGCACTACCTTCTAGGCACATAATTTCTATCTCAAAACATCTTAGTCCTCTCAGACAGAGGAATGTGTTTTCTCTTTGTGTTAGGCATCTCTTACACGCCCTGTTGCTGACATTTTCCAAGAAGCTGTTTGTGAGAATTACACCAGCGAGCATATCGACCCTTCAGGGAACTGCAGTCAGCTTGGGCTGAGCTCTATGTTTGACATGGGGAGAGCAGTTTTTGGACAGCATGGAGTACTAATCCTGCTAGGGTCAGGCCCTTGTATTGATTTTTTTCTTTTTGTTAGACTTGAAGGCTCAGTCAGTCCCAGGGATTATAAAGTATTGACCGGCTACCATTTTGTGTTTGGGCAAAGAGGGCTGTGCATGAGGATAGCTTGAAGAATCACGTGCAGAAAAGACATTTAATGACCTTAGTCACTTAGTGGGGTTAGGTGCGAGTGTCCTCCCATTATGTGCAAGCAGGCTTTGCCCTCAGTGTTCGTTACTCAGAATGCTTTGCCAAATGAGTATATCCTACTGATCTGGTGGAGTCTCACGTTGGACCCCAACGGCCGTTCCCAGGAATGGCTTCCAGTGCTCTGTCAGTAAACAGTCTTGGGCAGGGGGTGGATTAGGAGGTGTAGATAGTCTGCTGGGCTACATGTTGTTATTTCTGACCAGTTGGTCCTTGAGATAACAAAGGTATTTTCAAGACAGACATACATGCAGTGCTGACAAAACTGCACCAGTAAATATTGATATTTTTCACAGGACAAAAGCTCTTGCTGATAAAATTGCCTGTCTCCAAAGTTTGAAAAAAAATAAATTGGGGGTGACCATGAGGAGGGGCTTTGGGAGGCAAAAGAAGGAGGACTTACTCCCTAGATAGGGAAAACAGAGCGTAGCTGGACAGAAAAATAATAACAAGAACAAGAGACTGTGGAAGACCTGGAAGGGGCCCTGCAGCGTGGAAGACTCCATGTAGGATGCCTGTAGAGTCAGGTACCGTGCTGGGGTATCTCTCCCTTCTCAGAGCAGGCAAACCACACTGGTGATGTGGCTGTGCTTGTAGCTCTGTGCATGACTGTCTAGTTTGTCCCCAGAAGATTGCAGGAGCCGTACAGAAGCTGGCTCAGCAGGGCTTCTTGGCCTTCCCACAGCAGGAGGTGATTCACAAGGGTGCACTGACCATCTGGAGTGCCGTGTCAAGACAGGTCCTGGCAGTGGCTTACAGGCAGCATAGAGGACTTTGTCTATTTCCAGCCAAGGGTGGCTCATCACCTCCCTGTTTTGAGAGGTGGGGACTTGTTCTGAGTGCTGCTCCTTCCAGCTTCTCTTCAAGGGCAGGTGAGGCTGAGGACAGGGAGAGCTGATAAGGCAGTGCCAAGCTCTCCTCCTTCCGGAGCACTAGTGTTCCCATTGCCGGTGCTTCTCAAGCAGCTCTTGACATCATTGTTACAGATGTGGGATCACAAGGCTGGAAAGATGTCCAACACCTTTGGCCAAATCCCAAAGATAGATTTCATCTTTTTCAGCCTGCTGGCTGCCTTCACTTCTCTTGAGTGCTCTGTCAAACTTGGCTGCTTATCAGCTTGACACAACTCCTTCTTCTCCTCCTTCACTGATAGCTCCTCCAGTGTTCCAGTGACATTGAAATAAGACGTGAACTTCCCCAGAGTAAGGGAACTCTTCCGACAGAATTATTATTTGCGAAGAAACAAGTTGTGTCATGAAGGGCAGAATGACTGCAGTCTGATTCTTGTGCCTGTGCCTCCCCCAGACCACTGAAGAACTTCTTGAGCCCTGAGCCACCTTCAGTCCTCCCTGTCCCCACTGTTCCCTCATGCAGGCAAGGGGCAGCACCTGCTGTGGCCAGCTATGGGGCACGACTGGTGGGCCCAGCAAAACCAGTAACGCTTTGTGCCTGCTGTCACCTTCCCCTCAGTGAAGAGAGCTGATGTGTCTCTTCCCCAAGTGCTCACCACCTTTCACAGACCGTGTGGGACCAGATCCTGCTGTCATATTTGCCTGGATTTTGCTAAAAGATTCAAAAGTGATAAGAGCTGGGCAGACCACGTGGTCACAGATCCTTGATTTCTTTGGGAAATATCCTGAATACCTCTTGGTTTTTTGTAGTATAAACATATGGAGAGGAGTAGGCTACAGCATGACAGCTGCTCCGAAATTGATGCGGTATTGACCTGGTGAATGGGACTTGCCCTGGTCCTGCCAGGGCTGCCTATGCCTGAGAAAAACAGACTTGTTTTTCCAACATGGAAGTAACTCAATCGTTGACCGTGTGGTGAGGTGTGCTGCGGCTACGGCCCCGAGTTAACTGATGCTGAAAGGAGACACCTCATTGCGTGCTGCACCAAAGGCAGCCATAAATCAGGTGTCACTGAGGGCAACAGGGTATTTCTTAATGTGCATTTCCCACCAGGCCACTATGGCCTAGAGCGATTCTCAGCTTCCCGTAATGTCCTGCTAAATTACGAGAGGTTTAGTAATCAGTAGCATACTATGAAATAAATCAGAATTCTTTTCTTCAGATCAAAAAGGGCTATTCCATGCTAAAGCAGAGGGAAAGTGAAAACCACATAAAGTCTGCTTTATAAGTTTAAACCATTGCAACAACCGAAGAGCGACAGTGATTCTCAGGTGAAAGATTTCTACTTCTCCGTTTCATTCAAAGGCCAGAGGATGAAGGACATGCTTTCAGTAACAGCCAAGATTGGAGCGTTAGCAGTAGGTCCTGTTCACACCTCTGCCATAGAGCTTGCACAGGGCCTTCAGGTAGCTCCTCTACCTGGAGAGCAATTAGTTTCGCAGTCAAGCACTCACGTTGAAGTAGCACATGAATGGCTGAGTAAACCCAATGCCTACTCACTCCTGACAGCAGAAGGTCCCACCCTGGCTCCTCTGTCCTTGCCTCAGGCCATGCGGTCCTGCCCCACCAGAAGCATCACTGGGTGTGACTCTCCTCCGACTACATGGGGAGCCAGTTCAACTCCCTAACCTGCCAGGAAACCGTTTGCTTTCCAATTTTACTTTGTTTCCTAACAGGTGATTAGGCTTAGTAGATCCGTGCTCTCATCAGTGCAGGGTGGTGGGATGTGGGAGGAGGTTCAACACAAATCGTGACATGTAACCTCACCCTGGCAAGAGGAGGCTGGAAGTGGTGAGTCCAGGGTGCTAAATGCCTTGGAATACAGTTTGCTGACTTTGATGCCTGTACAAGAGCCACAGCCCCTTCCAGCCCCCTCTCTGCTGTCTAGAAAAGTCCGTTATGTGTTGTGCACCACATCTGGCTATGTTCATCCCTTGAACAAGTAAACAGGCTCTTTTGGAGTTGAACTGTAGTCCGAAAGACTAAGCATGCACTTCTGAAATCTCACACATGCACAGTTAGAATGCTACTGTGCCCCTCAGGGCATCGTAAGCCCTCCTGAACCCTACTCAGCCTTTGCAGCTAGTTTGGTCATCACTGACCAGTACTAGCTGGTCTTGATTTTAACTTCTGGTTGTTGCGGAGAAAGTAATTTGGTTTTTGTCCGGGGCTGGACTGTTCCCAGTTCCTCTGGGCATCCTCAGCTCTGCATGGGAAAGCTGTTCGCTTCCACTAACCATCCAAACTTGCTTGGAGGTGGCTTTGGACTGTCAAAAATTCCCCTTTTCCCTTCCTCTCTGGAACACAGTCCAGACGTAGATGATGGGATACACAGGTTCCCCTTCAGGAAATTGAGCACAGTGGCGCAAGCTGCCTTCCCTTTTCTGCTCTTTCGCAACCTCTCTGCCCTTCTCAACCTCTTATGCCCAAGGACTACTCATCCTGCCCCCAGCCTCGAGTGAGACCAAGCACAGAGGGAAAGGCTTGCAGGGTCTGTGCCAGTTTCTTTCCTTTACGTGCTCTGGTGTCCACCGTAATGGCAGATCGGAGAGCAGCAGGAGCTGATCTCAGGGAGAAGTAGTTTGGTCTGGAGGAGTTCAGTGGAGGAAAGCAGCAGCCAGCAAAGAGGCCACTGCCAAACCTGTGTGGCTCTGACAGCACTGCAGAGCCTGGAGGAACCTCTTAGCACAGCGCAGATGAAGATGCACATTGCGAATGGGGACAGGAAGGGGACCCCCAGGTGGGACCTCTCTGCCCAGTGCCGACAGCATGTTTGGAGCGTTTAGCAGGGGGGTCTGAGCTAGTCCTGGATATAATGCAACCCATCAGTGATGGGTAAGCTGTGGATCTACATTGCGAGACTGCTGCACTCTGCCCCCAGGATTAGCTGGCTACAAAACCATGAGCTGTTTTTTGGTGTTTTTTGTTTTAAATCAGACATGTTTCTTTAATGGATGGTGTAGGAGGTCTCTCCTGTTGCCCCAGTGACTAATCAGGCCTCCTTGCTTTTGACTGCCCTGATGGGGGGAGCTGAGATGCTCACTGCTTCCTCATTCCTGAGAGTTCACTGCTTGGGCTCACCACTCCTTAGCCGAGTTCAGTTATTTAAGCAGGACAGCCCAGGAGAATATATGATGCGAAGGACAGAGGCTGTGCTGAGCAGTGTGGGACCTTTGGGCACGTGGTGTTTGGCTTCTCTTCGTAGGTGCCGTGACAATGCCATCCCAAGGCCAGGTCATTTTCTGGAGGTATGGTATTATCTGCGTCTGCTTTGGCAGAGGGAAGGGAGGGAATTGCATTTTCCAGACTCCTCGGCTGTATCACCCTGCTGCCAGCAGCTGTCAAGACAGCAGTTCTTTGCAGGTTGATTGTATTCTATTAGGAAGAGCTTCTTCACTGTTAGAGTCGTTAGGCATTGGAATGGGCTCCCCAGGGAGGTGGTGGACTCACCATCCCTGGAGGTGTTCAAAAAACGTTTAGATGTGGCACTTCGAGACATGGTTTGGTGGGTTTAGTGGGCATGGTGGCATTGAGTAGACGGTTGGACTTGATGATCTTTGAGGTCTCTTCCGACCATAACGATTCTACAATTCTATGATTCTATACTGCAGTCACCCAAGATATTTAAATGCTGGTACAGCTTTTTCTATACAATCAGTAAGGCCATGTAGCTGTCCGAAACCCACGTGCAGGTCATCAACTGTAGCCAGGATGGAGATATGTGTCCTAGAAACTGTGCATGGCTAGCATACACTACCTCAGGTTTGAATGCTGTGGTAGATCAGGGTATCAATGTCTCGAGAAAGGCTTTGTGTTGTGCTGTTGTAGGTTGGGGTATCCATTGCTTGAGGAAGGCTCCCTGTTCCTTCTGCTGGTCCTCAGACAGTCGCTTATGTTTCCATCCCACCAGCGTGCTATGGGGAGAAAGGCAGAAGCTGTCCTACGCAAGTTTCCTTGCTGTGTGGGTCAGGAGTAAGAGCTGGGAAGATGTGCAAACTGGTTTGTGCCTCTTGTTTCAATGAGCCTGTTTCCTTTGGAGCTACTGACCAAGTCCTGGTGAACTACAGTCAGAAAAAGAAATATCATGGGGAAGGCCATAAAAATATCTGTCTCCTATCCTTATCTCCTGATTAGTTGAAAATAACTCCGACCAGCTGGGTAAAGTGGCAAACTTGCTTCAGCCTCCAATGAACATGGACCAAGCTTGCATCTAAACCTGACTGCTTGAGCAAAGCCACCGACAAGCTGTGTCTCTTCATCCCAGGTGTGGGCTTTTCCAGGCTGGATGGAGGCAGATGCTCCAGCAAGGTGTGTGAGACATCCCTGCTTGCATTTATTTTCTCAAAAAGGTTTCAGCTGTTATGAGTATCCATCCCACCTGAGCTGAACAGCAGTGGGGAGAAGGACGGTCCACATGTGAACAGGAGAGACCTCTCACGCATGAGCCACGCTCCAGCTTTCTCACATGGAGCATCAAGGAAGAACTAAATAGTAATATTATCTGCACCTTTTCACTGACAAAAGTGAGATCACTAGTAGACATAATGTAACACGGTGTAAATATTCACTGGGCATCGTATTCCTCATGCGTCTAGAATGCATGTAATAACCAGCTCTGTTATTCTCGAGAGGCAGCCCAGCTGGCTTTTGTCAGGGAAATGCAATAACTGATGGGTGTGAAAAAATGCACTCCTACCCCTTGCTGCTCTGAGAACCATCCTCCGGCTCTGCCCCAGGCGGCTGCCGGCAGCCGGACGGCAGCAGCAGGTTGCTGGAAGCAGCGGGCTTCTTCAAGGACATGGGCCTCTTCAGGCTCATCTTGAAATGCAGAAGTAGCCCAGAGAGAAGGGTGAATTTTCCAGGAAGCTTCAGAGGAGCAGTGGGAGGTTTCTGTTGATTTCATGGGAAAAAAAACCCTAACAACCAAATAAAAATAACAGTAACAAAAAGATCTAAAGTGCTGAGAAAAGTTGAGCTCTGAAATCATTGCAATCATTAACCTCTCATTGGAACGGAAAACCCTTCCCTTTTGGTTATCCCTGCCAGGCTATTTCTTTTCCACAGTAAGCTTTGATATAAGGAGGAAGGCAGGAGGCTTTCAATCTCTTAATCTTCCAAGTTTTTTGATCCTCACATCTCTAAACCCATTCTTGAGAGAAAGCTTACTCTGAGCGGAGCTAGAGACCAGGAGGATTATGTCTCTGCTGCCTGTCCCAGTAGAGCTGGATGCCTTTCTCTGTCCCCAGGCTGTGCTTGGCAGCATTCAGGCAGGGAATGAATGAATTTCATGCCAAATTCCGTTTGGCTGATCAGAAAAGAGAGTAGGATGCACAGAGTGACATCCCACAGGCTGCCAAAGCGGCGCTGGGAACCGAGGGTGACATCAGGGCTCCGACTTGTGCAGCCCCAGCCGCCTGTGTCCGACTGTTTCCGTGCCTCTGAAACGCTGGAACTATGAGGGGGGCTGATGCACAGAAAATTGTGCCTCGCTTGAACTGCCGGACTGGATTGTTGCGAAACACAGTTACCGTCAGCGTGCAGCCGGGTTGCCAGCTTCCTCTTGTTCGCCCTGCGCTCCAGATCTACTCGGTACGCACGGGAGGCTCACAGGAAAATATTTTTAAGGCTTTTGTGATTCTTGGGTTTTGCAGTTTCTGCGGAGGAAACTTCAAAGGGCCTGATTTCCCCTTGTCCCTGGCAACGGGTCTTGAAATGGCCGGTGGCATCCGCGTACCCAGAATTGCCATCCCTCCTGTAACAAACGAGCCGCTTTCTCTGTCAGCCCTGCTGCTGCCTTGAACCAGGGGTGAGAAGCGCCTCTCTGGATGCAAAGCTAGCAAGGCTTTGCAGCTATGGGGGCAGGTGGTGCCAGCGGGGGATAAAAGCCTCAGTGCTGGCCCATTTGTGCTGGTTTGTGTTTGTCTGTGAGAGAGCTGAGGATGATTTTGCCCAGCAGAGTGCTAGGACAGAGGTGCTGCTCAGGCCAGAAGGTCCTTTCAAGGACCGGAGGAAAGTGTGGTGGCACCTGAAGCATTTGAGGACTGTACCGGAGGGTGTCCCGGCTGCTTGTCCTCTGCCACAACCCCTCTGGCATTTACCAATGAAATCCCCTGTAACCTGCAGGCAGCATCCCTTGGCTCCCAGCAGTTTCTTCCCTGAACACTCTTGGGAAGGAGGATTTTAATCTAGAGGGATGAAGGTGAGTCACAGCTGCTGTGTGACAGCACAGCGCGGCTGCTGCTTGCTCCGTGCTTCCCAGGTGTGAGACCTGAGGCTGGTCATGGCAACCTTGGCTGAGTTTATAGCAACTGTCTCACTCCGGGATCAGCTCCGTAGAAGCTGGTGGAGCTCCTCAAGGAGTCTGATGTTATTTAGCATATGCAAGAGGCTTGGTATCTGCCCCAGAATAGGAAAGCACAGGGTTGTCCCACAATGAGCCTGGCCAAGACCCCAAGTGACTCGAGGTTGAGCCCCATGGGACATGACAAGTCTCTGCTGGGAGCTGTCACACCGCGGGATCCACGCGAGTCAACAAATGGAGTCCCCATCCCGCAGGCCCCCAGGTGAGGCGGTGGCTGGTGATGGGTCCTCAGCTGCCTAATGCTCGTGGCTGGAGGGTATCCACCGCTTTCCTCCCCAATACGGTCAGCTGTGACCGCAGCTGCAGGGCACTGGGACGGGGCAGGGGGACAACTGGTGTCCACCCTGGTCTGGAGTGAAAGCTGGTGAGAACAGGGAGGAAGCCAAACACGTGATACCTCCCAGCTCTGAGGGCATCTGGGCAGGGAGGCCTTGGTACAGACGTGAATGTATATATGGATTGTATGCACCTTTATATGGACTTATCGCATACTTGTGGTGAAATACACAGTTCTGATCCCTTCTTCTGAGCATGCTGGTATGTGCAGACAGGGCTTCCTCAGACAACTTTCCACTGGATTTAAGGATGAGGATGGAAGGGAGACAGTGGAAGGGCAAGCAAGCCTCTGCAACATCCCCCCTCCTCTCCATCCCCTCTTTCAACCTATCTTCCCTTTCTCCCTTCGCTGCTAGTCCCTCCAAGAGAGGCTTGTTCACACGGTGCAACTCCCTACAGCTCCATATCAGCCCTGTGATCATGGCATCTGGTTGAGACGCGATTGTGCAAGTAACTGAGGCAGGCACACATTCACGGTGGGAGGAGTGTGTGGTTGTACGGACATGGATGGGCTCTCGTGAGGGAGGCTAAAAAAAACGCTGTTTGTGGGGAAGGGGGGTGCGGCAAGCCAGCAAATGCTGCTGAAGCAGAGCAGCTATTTTTGTGTGGGTGGGAGGGCTGTGACATCTTGCAGCCTGGTCCTGCCTGGGGATGAGATGGGAAGCAGCAGCTCAAGAGTTTCTGTGTACAACGGGGCAAAACAAGCCCTGGGCTGGCAGCCCTGGATGCTGGTGCCGAGTGGCCACTCTGGGTACCCATGGCTCCTGCAGCACAGCTCCCTGCAGCACCCTGCCAGGCTTGGGAATGGGGTAAAGTCCCCTGTGAGGACCTCCTGAAGCTCTCTGGGCTTCTCCTCTGACAATCCTGAGCAGGGCTGAGCCCAGCATGCCTGTGAGACTGTCGAGGAGGAGCACGTGAGCTGCTTGCCCTGGGATGTACCTGTGGGTTTCTGTGGGGAGCTGCTTCAGGGCTTGCTCTGGTGGGGAGCTGAGGTCACTGCCACAGCCCCCCCATCCACATGAAAATGTGCCCAGCACCACGTGTGGCAGCTCTACCGGCTATGGTGGGATCCGCCACCCAGCCATGCTTATGGGTCTGTGCCAGAGATGGGTTGCACTCAGCAGGGCTCGAGCTGTGCTGCTCCATGCCATGCTGCCTGTCACCTCCTCTGCTGGGGCTGCTCTGCCTGTGTGGCTTGGCAAGTGGTCCTCTCCTCAGTCTCTCATTCAACAGCCCCTTATCCATCTGCTCATGGAGCATCCCAAATCTGACCACTTCACAAACCTGGTCCTGTTTCCAGCCCCTTTCTGCCTGCTCCCTGGCTCGTATCAGGTGTCTCCTGGGGTCAGGGGCCTGTCCCAGTGCTCTGCTCACCTCCCTGGGCAACTGGTCCCTGGCAAGTGCCAGCAGGGACTCACTTATGCACCGGGGGATGTGGAGAAATGCATCCTCCACTGGAGCCAGCTGCCTCCTCTCAAAGGCTAAGCCTGGGTCTCCTCTCCACATGGTTCCCCACCTTTGATGATAAGTGCTCACCAGAATGTTCATCACTACTGTGGTCATGTGCCTCACAGGTCCACCTTGCCCTAGGTCTGTCGCTTACCCACCTTGATTTCCTTCCTGCTGGTGGCTCTGCAGACATGCACCATAGGCGTAAGGTGTGAAGGAGGTGGGCTGCATGGTAATGTTGTCCTTTCTTTTTTCCCCAAATAGCATGACCACAGTCATTATCATCCTGGCTGCGGTGATTGCCCTGATCATTGGGTTTGGTGTCTCAGGTATGTGACTGCTCAGATTTTTTGCTGTTACTGGTGGGGCAATGACCTTCTGCCCTGCCTCTACCTCCACGGCTCCATCCCGTGCACAGGCTGAGGTGTGATCTCATGTGGAACTGCAACCTACAACCCTTTAACAAACGTTCGCTTTATAAAGCTTATGCACCAGAAAGCTGAATTAAGACTGGAGATGTAGAGCTGTGTTAGCTGAAATGTCCTTGGGCTTGGAGCCCTAAACCTACACATACAGAAAGTCCTGCACATCCTATGCTCCTTCTCCTAGACAGGAGGAGACAATGGTATTTATTGTGAAGTCAGACAGCATCTGCCAGGATGGGGCACATTCCCCTGCTCCCTCAGAGATGACAAAAATGTGTTATTTTGGTGTTGGCCAAAATGCAGCCTCGTCGGGGCGTGCTCGGTG